GTTTTTGTTGTTACCGCGCGCCGTGACGATTATCTCGCGAATGGACACGACTACCGCGTGCGGAGAGCTCCGGGCGCCGTCAGGAGGGTCGGCGAGGGTGGCGCAGGACGTGGCAGGAGAAAGTGGCGGAGAGGAGGTCGGTGAAGACGCGTCAGATTTGCGGGGGGGCATGGACGTAGTATTCTTCGTGTTCTGCTGCATGAAACTGGCTGAAAGTTTGAATGGGGGTGGTGGAGAGGTGTCTCGGCGGGTTCCCCGCTTGTGGGCGGGGTAGAATCGCGGGGGTTGCGGGCAGGGGGCGGCGCTGGCGAGCGAGGCGTGGGAATTTTTTGATGGTGGTGGTTGCGGATCAAAAGCCCCAAGTTGCTGTTCTAAACCAGTGGTCGCATACTACGGCCCGGACCCGAACTCGACCAAGGAGTTTGCGCTAGTCTTTGGGAGTATAAAAGGGGGGTTTGGTTGGGTTGTGTGTTTGGTTAGTGGGGTGTTAGTTTCCAGCTAGCGCTTCCATCTCCAATGCATAGTTTAGCCAAGTTCGCCGTCAAGCGCGCATTGCCGTTTCACCGGTGCATGGGTAGTCGATATGGACGAGGTCCGAGGTACTGGTTGGCGGTTTGGGAGCTCTGGGTCGCCGGAGTGGACATAGAGGCGAGTAGTCATTCCGGAGATAGTTGGCAGGACTTCTGGAGGAGTGCATCTGCATAGGAGCAAGGTCCGAGACGACACAGGTGAAGCGGAGCTGAACCAAAGGACATGGAGGACCGGAGTTCGGAGTGATGATGTAATCACAGTCCGGAATGTACCAAGAAGTGCGGCGGTGCCATGCGGCTGAGCCGCAGAGAACCGGTTGGAGCTGGGTGACTAGTCCAGAGGTTCCGGGATGAACCAGAATGACCGGAGGGTGAACGAGGTGAGGAGTGAGGGTAGAGGTGGCCAAGACAAAATGGAGTGGTGAAGGTGAAGTGTATAATAAATAGGAAAGTACTCGGTGATCCATAATTGGACAAGAGATATGTGATCTGGGATAGGTCTGGGAACGGGTGGACCATGGTCGACGGAAGTAAGCCGGATTACTGGAATGGTGCAGGGTCTGATGTGGTGTGTGACGATGTGTCCGGAGGTGGCAGGAGCACAATCGGAGTTAGTTTAAGTGTGACCGGAACCGATGAAATGGGTGCTCGGGGAACAGACCAGAATGCTAAACTAAATGCTAAAGCTGACAAGCAAGATGCTTCGCTGCTTAAGCCAATATCCGTGGATAAGGCCTCACAACTAACAACTACTAACCAAAACTAACACCAAAACACCCCTTTCAAGGTCTATCGCCGACGAGTAAAGATGCTTGTCCAAGATTACACGAATGTACTTCCAAGGACGAGGACCAAGTACCGAGATGGCTTAAGTAGTCTTTTTATGAATTGCGCTGGTTAAGCGTGAAAACACTGTTTGTTCACCTTGTCAAGTGCAGAACCAATGTCCTGAACGCCTGAGTTGACTTGTGGATATTACAGCTTCTCAGCTTCGATTGTGATTCTCTTTAAGTAACCAGTTCGGACAAAGTCCCACTTCGTGCACAATAAATCCTGTGTTCTCTCGCCGTTTAACTTTGTCTGGAGCCCGTTGTATAGTATCACTTTGTCTGGAACCCGTTGTATAGTATCACTTTGTCTGGTAGCTGCTTTGTCTGGTGACCACAATTCCGTAACTCGGTCCGTTTGGTTTAAGGGTTTCGCAAATCAATGCCAGTCAACTTGTTATATTCGAGCTACTCCGTGGAGGTAGTCTTAGCAAAACAAGCCCTAGTCTCCCTTGGTACGCGGGCGCTGGTAGCTGCCGGCTCTCTTGGGGGAAATTTCGTGCTGTTCCACTAAACTATGGCTCCCTTATATACATTTCCTACATACTAGTTACATACACACTATTATCATGCGGCGGTTATTATCCGAGCTTTAGTCGGTCCATTACAGTCATTCTATTCAGTCGGAAAGCTATCCGACCCCTTTGTTGCATTTAAAAGCGGACCAAGGTTTCACCTGGTGCCTAAGTCGATCGATCACTTAGTAAGTCATTTTGTACCACCTCGCACTCGAGGTAGCCGCTTATCCCTTAAACAAGGATCCCTTGGTTGAACTCAGCCAATTAATAGCTCTCTGCAGACACCAATATGTTTGTGGTTCTGAACATGTAGTTCACATCATCAATAGCAATCTTGTTTTAGAAGGTATTGATCGGTTCCTTGGCAGTCCGGCCAAGTCGGACATCCGGCACAGTGCTTAACCGACATTGAGTTAAGGACTGCGGCAGATCATGTGATCGGGCGCGTCGCGTTAAAGCAGACAAATAAAACACAACATTTCGAGAAGTCGGCTTAAGGTAGATTCCCCTTTAGCCCAATATTAGACAGAGTGGATATGTACTAATCCCTTGATCAATTAGACCCTGTGGTGGCTTCTGAACCATTATCCAGCCATGCCTAAGTCATGCTCGATGTCGAACTCCTTAAGCAGTATGTGAATATTCTGCTTAAGCGGGTCGCGCACGAACTGTGATTACCACAGTAAGTCCTTTAACCAACCGTGCAGGATGACATGTTAGTCCTCGTTTAGGCTATTTGCGTACATTAAATTGGTAAAACAACGCGATTTCTGCGTGTTCCAATACACAGCTTATCACCGATAACGGGAAAATTTGAAAGACTGGATTGCACGGATATAACATATAAGCATGGTAGCCAGAGCGCGGTTGAGCGCGGTTGGCAAGTCGCAATGATGGGCAACCTCCTGCCGGTCCCGGACCTGCTCTCCTGCTTTGGGATATCATCTAAATTCCACAAACGCGTGTTTCGTCCCAGCCAACTGTCTATTCTATCATCCCATCAGCTGAGTTTCAAATGAATCCTTAAATGGTCCACTCCTTTGCCTAACCTCCATCTTTCTCCCACTGAACTCCGTCTACCTAGTTTTTTCTATCCCCCATGAACTCCACTCAGCTCTCCGCTCCCGCAGCCGCTCCCTCTGTTGCGGGAGTGGGCTTGGGCTGTCCCACACCAGTGTATGCCCAGTCTTTTATTGTGGATGCCATGGATCACTTTGAAGAAGCCTGGGACGCTGCCGACGCCGCCTACGACATTTTCAAGGCCGCCATGACCATCTGGGATTCAGGTACGCTCCTTTCTTCCCTCCTTGCTTTCGACTCGCTCACTGCCCCTCGTAGCCCAAACTCAAGGACACGCTGCGGCCCAGGGACACGCTGCCGCTCCTCCGTGCAGACTGCGTTGGTGACGGGATTTGTTTGCACCACTGGCCCCTGGACCAGTGTTCTCTATGGCATTGTTCCTCCCGCCGCGCTCACCTCCGTTCCAGACAACGGTGGGAAGTGGTTCACCATTACTCGTGGCAAGTACATCGGTGGAACGGGCAAGATGCACTGACTACGGAATGGGCTAAACTAAGCTCTGAATGCAGTGAAACGGGCAAGATGCGCTGACTATGGAATGGGCTAAACTAAGCTCTATATGCGGGCTAGCTGAACACCTAACACACCACACACAAAACACACACACACCAACCCAATCCTATTTAAACTGACTCACAGGGGACGTAGCGCGTCTTCCTCGATGAGTTCGGGTCCTGAGTCGTAGTATGCGACTGCGGATCTGATGTCTAGAGCACGTATAGTTGTTCTATGCGTTCAAAACGTCTCAAAATACAGCATCTAGATACTAGTTGGCTTGGCTGCTTGGCTTCTAAACAAGACTTCCAGAGAAGGATGTGCAGGTTTATATATAAAGGATTGTTACTAGGAATCGCACCAAAGTACAGGTGCCTAGGCGAGGAGGTGTGGATTTGGACTGAAAATCCCGTTCAAGGGCTATGCTGCTTCGTCTAGACGACGTCTATTGCACTTGCTAGCCTCTCGAGAACTAGTGGCAGACTCGGACTCCTTTGAATCCAAGCTCTTTTCCGTACACTTGAGTTTATTAAGGACCTCAAAGTACTTTCCAACACAGCTAAACGACCGGTGGTTGTCCCAGGGTTCTCCCAAAGTGCTGTGCCGGGCGTGGTCGGTTTTAGCGAGGCGTTTCCTGGTCACCCGATGGGGATGCCCTGCTAGAGTCCACTCGCGACGACAGTCGCAGTTCGCAAACTTTCTTTGTGTGTACGGTCCTGATTTATACGTGGAGGCAGTCGCCGCTCATGACCTCCCAACACGAAGCTTTGCTTATAAGTTCACAGAAAGTTCTGGATCCAACAAGCAACACTGCGATTTTATAGACTACTGTTACACAGAGAGAGACGGTACTTTAATCTCTGCTAAGTGGCCTGAGCACACCCGAATCGTTGTAACGATGAGCGGGGCATGAACTGGTCTATTGCGGTATTTTATGAGGCTTTATATATGATTCTGAGAGAAAGAGATGAGGTAAAGATAAATGAGTAAAACAGGCCGATGTTCTGGTCATACGGTCATCCTCGGAAGGCTAACCGGTGTGAGCCATCACTTTGTGATGAGCTCTAGACGCCCTGCCACGCAGAACAAAAGCGCCTTTCAGGGCGACAGCTCGAAGCATGGTCACTGGTGCACTTGCACATGGGAAATCACTGATGAAAATCACTGGCGCACTTCTGGAAGTTAAAGGTGCACTCACTTGCTGGCGTACCCCGAACATGGAAAAGCGCCGCGACAAGAAAAGAGTGTCATGTTAAATCAACAACCTTTTGCACATTTATTAGACGTGCCGGGTCGTACTTGCGACGAAGACTACCAGGAAAAGCGTGCAAGTTAAAAAGGCGTTGAGCTAGGAAAAAAGAAGTGGTTAAATTTTCCAAGGCCAGACCCCGAGCCGAACAAGGGTAGCAGATTAAATATTACCCTTGAACCCATCAAGTATCCGCGCACTAATTGCTGTGCTATCTGGCCGTGATTAAAATGAGTCGCGCACGACTATCAATAACTCACCAAAAGAACGCGCCACCAAGAAAAAGTGCCTCACCAAAAACAGGCCCAGCTTTGAATTGAACGAGGAGCTTGTGGTTAGGAAATAACATTGCAATTAACGACTGCACGCAATACCATTACGCCACTGGGCCACATCACCACAACTCAAACTTTCAACTCGAGCTTTCTGAAAAGGGCGCGATAGAAAGTAATTATGAAGCGCCCCACCAAAAGACAGGAAAAAGGCGCCGCGCACTAAATAAAAGGGGCTTCGTTCAAGGGTATACCTTGAGCGAAGCTACCGATGGACAGACCCCGAATTGAATGAGGGTAGCGGGCGACATGGCATTCCATAATCGAGACGTCCGCGCACTAACCACTGTGCTATCTGACCGTGATACCTAGCCACTCAGGGAACGACAACGAACATTAGAAAAGGCGCTCAACGGAGAACGCACCACGTGCAGGAAAAAGGCGCGTGCGGGCGCAGGGCGCTATTTAAAGGAAAGGCGCTGAGTGCTATTTAAAGGAAAGGCGCGGGGCGCCATGAAGAAAGGCGCGAGGCGCCACGCTGTTCAAAGGGGAAGCTGGTGCGGTCTGAGGAAAAGAGCGCGAGCACGCTTTGGAGAAAGCCGTCGGAGATCGACAAATGGGGAAGTAGGGAATGGTATATAAGGACAGCGTGAAGGAGGGAGAAGGCATCTAATTACCTCCACTGCATACTGCCAAAGGAAAGGCGCTCCCATTGAAATGGGAGGCACTGATCCAGTACATTGCCAAATCAAATATATTAGTGTGCCTTCACGAGAGTGGGGTAACAGGGTCACTAGAAACTGCGCGAGAAACCGCCTAGACAAGAAAGGAGGAAATGTTGGAAATAACAAGTGTTGAAGCGCGCGTTCAGTTGAAGAAAAGTGCAGCGCAATCCTCCAAACAGCCAGCAGACCTACTCAGGCTGCGTGTAACTGTTGACTTTTGGTGCTCATAACGCACACCTTGCGTGCGTAGGGCGCATTTATTGAGAAGGCGCCTTTTATCAACTCGACTATACCATTTCCCCCATCCAATTCGGTGCACTTCCCTCGACTAGCTAGAAAGGCACCTCATGCCTGGCTATTCGCGCACGCACCAACATTCAGATTGCAAAGGAGCGTGCTACAATCTGACGGCGCTGCGTTTATCCAGTTCTGAAGAAACTGCTTGTGCGCCCTATACGAAGCAAGGAGAAATTTGTATACACCACCACCACCATTAAAAATTATCATTGCGTAGATTCTAGCCCGCTTATTTCCCTCTAGAGGACATACACCATTTGTATTACAGTTTGATCTTACAGCCAACGACAGTACCGAAGGCGCGGATCAAAACTTTCCAAATTTAGAGGTTTTTCATCTCTTCGAAAGAATTGGCCATACCTCGCTCATTTCTGCACCGTTTGACTTGTAAGTAGGCTAAGAATGCCAGGCTAATTCACGTGTGATTAGCCATAGAGCTAGATTAACAGAAATGTTTTATTTTGGGTACTCCTAAAATTGGGCTTGGTCAACGGTAAATTCGCGCTAGTAATGCCGTATCATGTTCAGTTGGCCCCAATTTTGAATACGGAAATTCTGGAGGTACTATAATTGATGTCAAAGACTCATAACAGCGAATTTACTCCCTGATTATTTTAAAATTGGACTGCGGGGAATCTAACGGTGAAAGTGTTGAAAGTTGTATGTTGACCGAGGGCTTTCTCTCTGCTCCAAGTTGCAAGAAATGCTTATCCATGGAGCTTCTCTGTCATTTCCATGCATTCTTGGTGCTTCTTACAGGAGGGAAGAGTAGTTGAGAGCTCAAACATTCTGAGTCGACAGCCTCAGAAATATAATGATGTTGAATTGCCAATAACGCCTTCGTTACTCCATGTCAGTGGTTGTACTTTTACAGAGCATAAGGCTGTTCAGACCGCCCGCCCATTATCTATTTGCATGTCAAGTACTCCGGTCAACATACAACTTTCAACACTTTCACCGTTAGATTCCCCGCAGTCCAATTTTAAAATAATCAGGGAGTAAATTCGCTGTTATGAGTCTTTGACATCAATTATAGTACCTCCAGAATTTCCGTATTCAAAATTGGGGCCAACTGAACATGATACGGCATTACTAGCGCGAATTTACCGTTGACCAGGCCCAATTTTAGGAGTACCCAAAATAAAACATTTCTGTTAATCTAACTCTATGACTAATTGCACGTGAATTAGCCTGGCATTTCTAGCCTACTTATAAGTCAAACAGTGCAGAAATGAGCGAGGTATGGCCAATTCTTTCGAAGAGATGAAAAACCTCTAAATTTGGAAATTTTTGATCCGTGCCTTCGGTACTGTCGTTGGCTGTAAGTTCACGGCCAGATTCTAGGACAATAACCGCAGTCCACATCACACCGGGTCTACGCTGGCTCTGGACTTGCCAGAAAGTCATCTAGATGACGATCTTGGGGGCCCAGTTAGGGTATATGGCCAGTTCGGGTCGTCTAGACAGCTCCCGAAACCTGATAATTTTCAAAACTCCATCCCCCGACGCCGGACTGCTCACCAATCCGCTCATATACCCTGATAGCACACGGACTAAACATATATATGTCTGCCCATGGCTACATCTCAACCAGAACTCCTTCTTTATGTTTGTGCTTGTGGCGCCCCAATGCTGACCGCGTCGCGTTAGTCACCTGACTGGCTAGAGGGGCACTTTAGGGCAACCCCTCCTTATATCCCTAAGCTCCTTGCACCGTCTAGACACTGTATTTTGCATTTTGCAGGTCAACAAGGGCACCAATGGAAAAAGTGTTGTAGATGACTCTGATAGCCCTTGATAGGCTCTACAAGATGGGTATAGAGATCAGACACTCGACGAGGACTTTCCATTTTGGGACACTACCACTTTGCATCCCAAAAAGGAAGTTCTTGACCTCAACCCATCCCTAGGTCATAATTCAGCCATTTTCAATAATCCAACATTGTGTAGATCATCACTGGTGTGTTCCAGGGCCAACTGGGACCAAATAAGGGCTATGACAGTGTGATAGTAGGGTGAAAACTGTCAAAATTGGAAACAAGTGAAATCCTTTTTATATCTGAGCTATCACACCATTTCTTAGATTTGAGGGCCTAAGGAATGATCCCTTATACCTTACCAAGATCTGTAACTTTGTCTGCACCCCAAGAAACACACAGGAGACAGTCATACATCTGTGTGATTATTATCACAAACTCACGTTATTACATGTATAACAGCTTTTCACCCATAAGCAACATAGGCCACAATGTTCTGTTATGTCTTTCAATCATCCTGGGACCCTTGCTGAACATGCTGCAGCTTTTGAGATGTAGAACTCTTCAAATTGGCCAACACAGCCTATTTGGCACTTATACACCCTTGCCAAGCAACCAGGACTTTCAAAATTGACCTAAACCCAGTTTAACAACTCCATGGAATATTTCTGCCACATAAATGGCTGACCTAAAGTGGGTTATTGATGACTTTGGAAAAGTCCTATTTTTGCCTTGTTTGGTGAATAGCACACTTGGTATAGTGTATAATGCACTACAAACATTATAATATGCAAGAGGAGGGTCATATCTTGTCTAAATGGCTTTACTTGAAGTGTTTTGGTCAAATAGTGCTTCCAGAATGGAAGACAGACACTCGGGCTCTAGAACTTTGAGTGAAATCTGGGCTACTTTATGAGCCATGTCCAAAGACACAGCAGAAATTGACTAAAAATCCGAGGAAATTTCCACAGCATCATTTAGGCAATTAGGAAATATTGGCTTACTAGGAATTTGTCTTTACTACACTGTTTTCCATTATCAGATGTCATGAGCTCTAATGTGACCAAGATAGTTAAGAAGGCTGGGCAAGTTACATTTCGGAGTATAGGTACTGTGTGTACATGCTAAGATCAAGTAGTCTCCCTCGCCCTACACGGACCTATTTGAGATTCAGAGCGGTAGTGTTCCAAAATAGAAAACCCTTCTTAAGCGTCTGATCGTTATACTCATCTTGTAGAGCCTATCAAGGGCTATCAGGGTCATCTACAACACTTTTTCCATTGGTGCCCTTGTTGACCTGCAAAATGCAAAATACTTTCTCAGAACCGGGTCTTTCTCAGTGAATTGCCTTGTTATGGGCCTTAATGCGATGAAGATAGTTAGTGAAACTAAAGATATCACATTTCAAGGTATAGGTTGATTTCTGTAATGTTTCCTTTTTAGGTTGGTAGGTGGAGTGTCCGTTTTTGGTAATTGTACCTGTTAAGAACAAGTGGTACCTATTGCACTGATGCGCGGGCAATCGAGGCACGGGCAGAAGACGGAAAACGAGCTCTATACATAAGGCAGTGATGGGAAGGTGAACAGGGACAGGTCTGTAGGCGGTCGGATCTGGGGCACTCATGAACATGAACTAATGAACCCCAAAACCCAACCAACCAAAAACCCACATAGCTGAACACCACCCAACAATAAACCAACCATATAGACCAACCATCCAATGCACAGCACTCTCTGCCCCGCACTGAGTTCGGGGATTCCAGCTAAAGTCACCTGCCATTCCCAACTAACGGACCTTGTAGGACCACATTTATACCCCCTAAATGTAGTCCTAGGTAGACCTCGACCAGCCAAAGTCCCTCCTGCAGCCACCCTATGGGGACCTACAGGGACCGTGGGAGGACCGAGGGGGACGGTGGACACATAGAGTGCCGGTGCAGGGACAGGGGCCAGATATAGGCGCGGTGGGGGGACAGGGGGACAGATTGGACTTGTAGCACCTCGGGTGCACACACACGGTGTGGGGACAGGGGGGACACAGCTGCGGTGGGGGGACAGGGGGACATCTTATGGAACATCGACGGTGGGGGGGACGTTAAGAGGGACATCACGTGCCCGGTACACACATGGTGGGGGGGACGTTAAGAGGGACATCACGTGCCCGGTACACACGCGGTGGGGGGACAAACGGGACATTTTTTTTTCACAGTGTGGGATGGGATCACGTGCCTGGTACATCTGCGGTAGGAGGACAAGCGGGACATTTTTTCTCCAGTTGTTGGCGGGTGTGGAATAGTGTCACGTGACCGGTACATACACGGTGCGGGGACAGGCGGGACG